TTGCCAGTGATGTAATTTTCCAGCAAGATAACGACCCTAAGCACAAGAGTAGGCTTGTGCAAGAGTTCATGTATGAGCAGGAATACTCCAGTCCTGCAGTGGCCTTCCTCCTCCCCAGACCTAAATCCCATCGAACACCTATGGTCTCACTTCAAACGTGAGCTCGCCAAGTATGAGCACACCCCCCCGGGCATGCTCCAAACTTGGGAGCGAGTGCAGGAGACGTGGGAGAGTATTGGAGCAGAAGTTTGTAGGGGATTGATAGATAGTATGCCTAGGAGGGTGAAGGCCGTTGTTAGGGCAAAGGGTAGATGGACTAGGTACTGATTATGGACAATGTTATGCCTTGTTTGAAATGGGAACTAACTGTCCTAATGTACATCCATGTATCTTATGCTATGAACTTTGGCATAACAAAACCAAATATGGCTATGTTGGCATTTTACGTGTGCTGTCGCCTTTGTCTACCAGACCATTAAAGCCTGTCACATTATAAACTTCCCAATAATCAGCAACACACAATTTTCCACAAAATTGTCCAATATGCGGACAATTTCTCCCGTCACTGTAACACCTCTAAGCCTAGCACCCCCATACCCAGCAGCAGAGGTGAATGCAAGGAAGGAAGGCGCTAGGCATTCTTGAGCTGCGGCGGGGTGGAGCCAGCTGGCGTGGCGAGATGGGACCGACGTTGCGAGCTGGGTCCACTGGGACCGACGCGGCGAGCTGGGTCCAACGCGGCGAGCAGAGTCCGACACGACGAGCTGGGGAGGCGCGGCGAGGTGGAGTGCGGGCTTGCTGCCTGGTGCTTAAACCAGTGCGCGGCCCACTGCCGCCCGTGCGCTGACGCGACAATGGTGGCACGACGAAGCCGCCACGTCGAGGCTGCCACAGCAGTGCGACAAAGCCGTCATGGCAGCACGACACGACCGCCACGGCGGCGCGGAAGTAACAAGAAGGGGGGGGGTTACGCGGCGGAAGCATGAGGAGTCAACCCAGCAGGGCGGACCTCCGGCTCTGAAACCATGTTAGAAACTCAGCCGAGGATCTTCACGAGGGTAACCCCAACGGATCACTCGACACCCCCCCTCGCTTGGATAGGTGGAAGACACAAGCGCCTCTGCAGCGCTAGCACTGGGAATTGAACCCGAGTCACCAACGCTCTGATACCATGTTAGAATACTAGGATGCTAGGTAGGAGTAGGAGCCATGAATGGCGAGAGGTTTTAGGTGCTAGAGCAAATATCGAGAGATAAGGGGGTGAGATTAGAAGAGAGAGGGATACAAAAATGGGGGTTGTACCCTCTACAGTAGGATCCAATAACACCTATCAAGCCTACAATTATATATATATATTATAAAATTTAACAACTGGGACGTTTCGGCTTTTTCGCCAGGTTTCGTGACTTCGTTTTTTTGCACCCCCACTCAACAATCAAGAGGGACCCCCTCTGCTATTTTGCCGTCGGGTTTTAAACAGCGTGTTTTCTGTAGTTGACCCTGTTTATGTCAACTTATACAAGTCATGCATGTAGAAGGTATAGGCTAGTATCGGTGTGTGCTCCTAGGGAGTACAACCCAACTGCTATGTCTTCCTCGGCTTCCCCCTGGACTCGTCTGACTGGCTTTTCCACCACCCGCCGTCTCACCGCTTCCTCCACTCTCGCGACGTCACCTTTGACGAGTCTGTCTCCTTCTACCGCCGCTTCCCTCATCGAGGTCTCCCGGTTGCCCCGCCCCTGTTCCTTGCTCCCTCTCCCCCGGTAGCCCCTGCTCCTCTCCCGCCTCGTCCCGCCCCGTCTGCTGTCTCTCACGTCACTCCCCTCCCGTCGGTTGTCCCCGTTGAGGAGTCTGCTGACTCTGGTGGTACCCCCGGCCTGTCCTTGCCGCGTCCCCCTTCCCCGGTGTCTCCGCCTCCACTGTCGCAGTCGCCGACTCCGCCGTCACCCGGTTGTTGCGTTCACCTTGTTGTTGCGTTCACCTGGTTGTTGCGTTCACCTGGTTGTTGCGTTCACCTGGTTGTTGCGTTCACCTGGTTGTTGCATTCACCTGGTTGATACGGTGGAATGCCTCGGCCTCCATGCGGCGCACGCCCTCCAGGGTCATGCCGTGCCACTCGTCCATCCAGCAGATCGCCACCGCCACCGTTGCCGCTGCCGCCGCCACCGCCGCCGCTGCCGTCGCCGCCACTGCCGCCGCCGCTCTTGGCCCCTGGGGGTGCTGGGGTTGAGGAGGGTGTTCGTCCTGCGGCTCCTGGGGGTGCCGCTGGTGTTGGAGGGGGTTCTCGCTCTGGGGGTGTTGGTTCTGGGGGTGCTGCTGTTGAGGGTTCTGCCGACGGTCGTCCTGCCTCTGCCGGTCTGAGGGTTCCGGCCCAGCCGTCGCAGCAGCCGCAGCAGCCGTCGCCGCCGGTCTCCGCCCTCCGCCTGCCCGGCCTTCCCTCCCCTGACCGCTTGCTTGTGTCTCCCCCACCGCCTTCTGACTTTCCTGTCTACGGTCCTGTGTTCCCGCCGCCGGACTCGTCTCCGGCCCGTCTTCCTCCTCGTTCCCCTCCTGTGTCTCCCCCAATGTCTCCTGACCCTACACCTCCGTCCCACGTTTGGTCTCGCCGTCCCTCCCATGCTCGTCCCGTCTCTCCTGCCCTGCGCTCCCACCCTATGTTGCTCCGTTCCCACTCGTCTCGTCCTCCCCTCCTCCCGTCCCCTCCTCCCTCGTCACTTGCTGTTGCACCTCCTCCGCTGTCTGACTACCTCCGTGCCGCTCATCCCCTTGTCCCTCGGGTTCTTGCCTCTCTTGTTACCGACCCTTCTGTTCTTGTCTCGCACCTTGACGCACTTGTCGCTGCTGTCGCTGACTTCGTCTCTACCCGCCGCCTTGACTATGCTACCGCTCTGGTCTCTGACCCTGCCCGTCCTCCGTCCGTCGGGGCTGCTCCTGCCCTGCCCTTGGCAGTAACGTTCTAGAGGACAGGCAGTACGAGCTTGCTTTCCTTTCCAAGGCCGCTCCCCATCTCTGCTTCATGCTGTTAGTCCCTGAGGGTGACCCAGACGCCTTCGACATCCCGACCCCTCGCACCTACGCTGAGGCCATCTCGGGACCCTGGGCCTCTCAGTGGATAGCTGCCATGGAGCAGGAGATGGCATCTTGGAGGTCCACCAACACTTACATCGACGCAGTTCCCCCACCTGGGGTGAACGTAGTCGATGGTCGGTGGCTCTTCAAGGTGAAGCGTCCTCCTGGAGAGCCGCCTGTCTTCAAGGCGCGCTACGTGGCCAGAGGTTTTAGTCAGCGCGAGGGGGTTGACTTCTTCCAGACCTTCGCCCCGACCCCGAAGATGACTACTCTTCGGGCGCTGCTACACGTAGCAGCACAGCGCGACTACGAGCTTCACTCCCTCGACTTATCTACTGCCTTTCTTCAGGGCAGCCTACACGAGCAGGTCTACCTGCGTCGACCTAAGGGCTTCACTGGTACCTTCCCCCCTGGGACCCAGTGGCTTCTCAGGCGCCCGGTCTACGGCCTCCGTCAGGCTCCCCGCAAGTGGCACGACACGCTGTGTGCCACGTTAGCAGACCTGCAGTTCTTCCCGTCCTCAGCTGACCCCTCGCTGTTTGTGCGTTCCGCCCAAACTCCGTTCTACATCCTTGTCTACGTAGACGACCTGGTCTTCGCTACTGCTGACAGGGACGCATTGGCTTCTGTGAAGGCCGAGCTGCTGAAGAGACACACCTGCACTGACCTTGGAGAGCTGCGTCGCTATCTTGGCCTGCAGATCTCCAGGGACAGAGCAGCACGCACCATCACTCTGACACAGTCACACTTGGTGCGTGCTGCTCTGTCCCTGGAGATCTGCAGGCACCATCACCATCAGTTCGGTCTTCAGTTCTCCTCCGCACAGCCCACACCTCTACCTGTAGACCATGGGTTCTCCGCTCCAGTTCCTGAGGAGCCAGTATAGCCCAGTGGCCCCTACGCAGAGCTGGTGGGTTGCCTTATGTACCTGATGACTTGCACTCGCCCAGATCTCGCATACCCTCTCAGCATCCTGGCTCGCTTTGTGGCTACAGGCAGACACCGGCCTCAGCACTGGTCTACCGCTAAGAGGGTTTTGCGTTATCTTGCAAGTACATCGGGCATGGGGTTAGTGCTAGGAGGACGCAGGCCAGTGGTCCTCACTGGGCACACAGACGCTTCTTGGGCAGACGACTCTGAGACTCTCAGGTCGTCTCAGGGCTACTGTTTTAGCCTTGGTTCGGGTGCTATCTCTTGGAGATCCACTCGCTCGTCGTCTGTTGCTCAGTCCAGCTGTGAGGCTGAGATCTACGCCGGTGCCATGGCGGCACAGGAGCTCCGCTGGCTTACCTTCTTGCTCACAGACCTAGGTGAGCGGCCTAGCTCTGCCCCGGTCCTGTACGCTGACAACAGGGCCATGATTCTCCTGTGTCAGGAGCCTCGGCTTGAGGGCAGAGCGAAGCACATCCAGCTGCGGTACTTCCTCTTGCGCGAGCTACAGCAGCGTCGCCAGGCCCGCGTAGTTCACTTGGGCTCCGGTAACAATACAGCTGATATCTTTACTAAGGCGCTTGCGCCTAAAGATCATCAGCGGCACTGTGTCCAGCTTGGTCTTGTTCCTGTAGCTTCTCACTTGTTAGGACCCTGACTTGTGTACTCCTCACTATATATATACCAGTCTGACTAGCCTTGTGGCTTTACTCCCAGTGGCTGGACTAGTAGTGCCGCCCTGGTTTGTTTTTGTCTTGTCTGTACTCTTGCTGACTGGTCTTTGGACCCTTGCCTCAGTGGTTGGACTAGTAGTGCCTCCCTGAGCTGTGTGCTTCTTGCTTGCACCACCCCTTCTCTAGCCTAGGGGGTGTGTCAACATATACATGTCATGCATGTAGAAGGTTTAGGCTAGTATCGGTGTGTGCTCCTAGGGAGTACAACCCAACTGCTATATGTTCCTTGTTTCACCTTCTAGTAATTAATCTCGTATGCTGACAGTTTATTCAGCGCAAAATTTATACAACACCCTGATTGATCAGCGTTTTTTTTTTTTAGGCCTGAAAAAACAGGGAGCTACGAGGGGGGGACCCTGAGCAGACAAAAACAAACCAGCGTGCCCCAAAACGAATCTGAGGCCCTGATTGCGAGTGTTTTTTTAGACATCGCAAAAACTGACACTTCCAAGAACCACTGCTGGCTGATCACTGTGGTTGCTCCTGGCCCTCACAATCTCTTGAAAACACGCAAGTAAAATCTGCTGCCCCTCCCACTATTCTCACGAAGTCGTTCCTACAGAACAGCCCTGCATCCCGAGCCACACACTGATCCCCAAACCTCCTCTCAGCCCACCCAGGCAACTCATCCGGCCCCACCGTTTCCCCCATGCCCCCCAACGCAGCTCCCACCACCTCCCTCGCGGTGCTAAGTATCACTCTTAGCTCAGATAAGTCCTCTGCAGTAAGCTCCACTCGCCTCCGGTGGGTAAAATACTCTTTACACTCCGGGTGCCCGTGCGTGCAGTCATACAGACTCAAACTGTCCACCTCAGCGCGGTCGCCTGCCTGGAAGCTTCCTCGGCGGCACATCTTCAGGAAGTAGGGGAGTCCAGCGCTTAAAGCCATGGCATAGTAAGTCTCGTGCAGCACGTGGTATGGCATGATCTCAATCAGAGCGGTGGAGCGCCGGGCGAAGAGGGGCGGGTTGGCGAGCGCTGCGCCGTGTAGAGAGATGATGATGTCGGCCGCTTGGATGGCGTCGAACTGCTGCTTGAAGGTCAGCTGGCTCAGCTCTGCCATGGTGACCTGGGGTTGAGGGGGAGCGAGAGCAATGCAGACTTGGACCAGAGACACGGATACGAGAGAGAAGAGACACCATTTGGATCAATTCTGCCATGCCCTTGACCACTCTCCCCATACCCTCCGGTAACCCACCCACCCTACCCCCTCCCCCCCCCCAACCCCCCCCACCCTCCACCCTCGTGACACTCCTTCCCACTGCTCTGCTCAATCGTGGCACTCACCAACCCTCTCCCCACTGCAACCATGGCCGCCACCCCTCTATTCTCACCCCTTACCACCACATTCGACCCCTCCATAAGCCTCACCCACCCATGCCTCATCCCTCAACTGATGTACAGCACAAGCTCCTGCCACCCCTCTGTCCCCAGCGCGCCCCACACCAGCGCTACGGGTATCCCCCCAACGATCTCCCCCATGATCCCCAGCACCGCCTCATGCCTCTCCAGCACGAATGCCCCTCGCTGCCTCGCCTCTGCCCCCACCCTCTCTCACCGCACACCACCCCTGCAAGTGGAATCCCGGATCCACCCCCTCACCTCCATCTTCAGCTCGTCCATGAGCCTCAGCAGCGCCTCATGGCTGCCCGGCAGAAACAAGCGCCTCTGTCTCAGCTCTGCCCCCAGCCGTGTGATGTGCAGCACACGGCTGACCAACTGCCTCCCATGCAACCATGCCTCACCTTCACCCCCTCACCTCCACGTTCACCTCATCCATAATCCTCAACAACGCCTTATGGCTCTCTGGCAAAAACGCCCCCTTTGAGGGACGTACAGCACCCGCAGCCATCACCCCAGCCTATCTGCGCCCAGCATAACACCACCTGTGCATGTTAACCATCCCCTCGTTCTCTCTCCCTCACCTCCATGTTGAGCTCCTCCATGAGCCTCAAGAGCGCCTCATGGCTCTCCGGCAGGAACGCCCGTCGCCCCCGCAGCTCCGCTCCCAGCCGAGTGATGTACAGCACCTGCGGCCGCCACCTCGCCGCCCCCTCCGCGCCCCACACCACCGCAGCGGGGGGCTGCAGGCGCAGCTTAATGCGCAGATGGCGCTGCAGGTAGCCCGCCTGGGCGGGTGAAGATGGGTAGACTTGACCCTGTGAGGAAGAATAGGAGGGAAACACAAGAAAATCTAACTGAACTCACACACCACACCTGCAGGCGGCTCCAGGCGCAGCTTGACACGCAGATGGCACTGGAGGTAGCCCGCCTGGGCTGGCGAGGATGGGTACACCTGACCCTGTGGGAAAGAACAGGAGGGGAAGCCGCGTGGAGGATTCATTGTAAGTCAGTCAAAATACTACTATGGCAGGCTGCTTCCTGGCGGGAGTAGATGCGCAGATGGCGTTGGAGGAAGGCCACTAAGGCGAGGGAGGAGGGGAGTGAATGATCCGGCAGGGAGGGTCGAGGCAGGAAAAGGTTGGTCGTGGTGGAGGGGGAAGGAAGGGACGGACACGAGGGCGCCTTGGACATGAGGGCAATGGCATTGCCTCCAAGCACTGCTTGCGCCCATGAGCTGAGCTTGGGCGCTCCGAGGTGATTCCTGAGAGCGCACCCGGGGAACCCCACCGGAGCCCACTTGAGAGCCCACCAGGGACACCTGAGAGCGCGCCTGGGACACCTGAGAGCGCACCTGGGACACCTGAGAGCGCACCTGGGACACCTGAGAGCGCACACGGGACACCTGATAGCGCACCTGGGACACCTGATAGCGCACCTGGGACACCTGAGAGCGCACACGGGACACCTGATAGTGCACCTGGGACACCTGAGAGCGCACCTGGGACACCTGATAGCGCACCTGGGACACCTGATAGCGCACCTGGGACACCTGAGAGCACACCTGGGACACTCGAAAGCCCACCTGGGACACCTGAGAGCGCGCCTGGGACACCTGATAGCGCACCTGGGACACCTGAGAGCCCACCTGGGACACCTGATCGTGCACCTGGGACACCTGAGAGCGCACCTGGGACACCCGAAAGCCCACCTGGGACACCTGATGGCCCACCTTGAGTATCCCCGGCAGCAGCACGCGCTCGAAGCACAGCGGCTCCTCCTCGGTGGCCCTCCGCCACGCGCGCTCAAACTCCACCAGCCCGTACGCCATCCAGTCGTCGCCCAGCGTGCGGTGCTCGTGCCTGGGGTGGGTGGAGGGACAGGGGAAGACCAGAAAAAGTGAATTGATAGCCACGCCCACTCAAACTGCACCCACCCATATGCCACGGAGTCATCGCCTAGACTCCGGTGCCCATGCCTGGGGGGTGTGAAGGACATTGGGACACACGAGGAGGGAACCCTTAAGTTGACTAGGAAGCCACGTCTACACACAGCCCACCAGCCCGTCCGTCATGGACTCATCAACTAGAACCCTATGCTTGTGCCTGTGGCATGCGGAGGACAGTGAGAAGCAAGAAAAGGCAACTTGTAGATTCGCTGAGAGCCAGGCCCTTTCAAACTCCACCAACCCATACGCCATGGATTCATCGCCCAGAGCTCTGAGCTTGTGCCTGTGGCGTGTGGAGAACAGTGGGAAGGACTGGGTCACAAGAAAGGCAAATATCAAGCTGAGACTAAAACGCCAAGCCGTCTCAAACCCCACCAGCCCACATGCCATGTAGTCATCGCCCAGTGTGAGGTGCTCGTGCCGGGAGTGCGTTTCCATCAGGGGGAAGGAAGCGTCTCAAGCAAGCCACGCCCTCTAAATCCCCACCAGCCTATACGCCAGAGTCATCACCTAGAGTCCGGTGCTCGTGGCTGTGGCGTGTGGAGATAAGAAAAGGCAACTTGTGGAGTCACTGAGAAGCCAAGCCCGCTCACAACTCCACCAACCCATACCATACGCCATCGAGTGATGGCCTAGAGTCATGTGCTTGTGCCTGCGGCAGGTGGGACGTAAGAAAAAAGGACTTCTAATTTGAGTGGGAAGCCGAGCCCTGTCACACCATACCAGCCCACACAGCATGGCCTCGTCTCCTAACGTCCCGTGCCCGTGCCCGTGCCTGGGGTGTGTGGAGGACTGTGCACAACAGAGCGTGAAGAGAACAGCGTGTTTCACACTGGCAGGAGGCGCGGCAAACAGATGCATGCGGTGTGACACATAGACACATGGACACATGGACACATGGACACATGGACACATGGGCACATGAGGCGAGTTGAAGGTAACAAGGTGGAGAGAACATACATCTGCGTGGAGGTGTGCATCTGCGGCGTGAGGAAGGGCGTGAGCGCGAACTCGATGAGCGCCTGCAGCACCAACGCGTGGATGCCGTAGCCCCCTCCCATGCGCCACCTGCAGCGTGTTAGGGGGGAGGGAGGTAAACCCGGATGGAAGGCGTGAATGCGGATGAATTAGAGGAAATGGCGCATGAAAGGTGTGAGTGGCTTCTGTGTTATAAAACGAGCCACCACTGACTGTTAATATCCTACCTAGTACCTACCCCTGTCGATTGCGCACCTCTCAAGGGCAAGATCACACCACCGTTCGAGTGTGAGTTCATCCCGCGGCAGCATGGGGGCCAAAGCTATTGCTGCCTGCATCACTGCGCATCGCCACACCATTTAGGGGTCGCTCGTTACTGTATCACTAGCAGGCACTGTGCGGTTCCAGAGTGAAGTCATCCTGGGGGCAGCTTGAAGCGCTCCACCATGTGCTGTTGCTGCACCGCTGGCACTTAACATCAAGATTGCACCTTTCAAGGTAACGTTGCTCGCTACTGCACTGCACAACTAGCAGCAGGCACTAACCGTTCGAGCGTGAAGTCGTCCCGCGGCAGCATGAAGCGCGCCACCATTGGCTGCAGCACTGCCGGGTCCGTGAAGTTGTTGGCCAGCAATAAGGTGAACGCCTTGCCTGGTGAGGAGAGAAGGGGAGAGAGATTGGGGAGAGAAGGACTGTGTTGGATAAGTGGGGGATTGTGAGTGGAGGCTGCAGCACTGCTGGATCCATAAAGTTGCTGGCGGGGAGCGAGGTCAAGGCCTTGCCTGAGGGGAAGTGGAGATGAGAAAGGAGGAGCGATGGGAGGAGAGGGGTGGGGAGAGGGGTGGGGAGAGGGGTGGGGAGAGGGGTGGGGAGTGGGGGAAGAGTGGAGGCTGCTGCAGCACTTGTGGGTCTGTGAAGTTGCTGGCAAAGAGTGGGGTGGACGCCGCCTGGAGAGAAATGGAGAGGAGAGATTGGGGAGAGAGAGACAGTGAAGCGGGAGAGCATGGGAGGGAGTAGGGCTGCGGCACCGCTGGGTCCGTGAATTTCGTTGGCCAGGAGTAGGGTGAAGGTCGTGTTTCCGCGGAAGAAGGGAGGGGAGAGAGAGATACTGCGGGAGAGCACAGATGACACCATGCGGGGCAGCAGCACTGCTGTATCGTGTGAGGTTGTTGGGCCGGAACCAGGTGAAGGCCTTGCCTGCTGAGGAGAGGAGAAGAGAAAGCGGGAGGAGAGGGGAGAGGGGGGATGAGTTGGGGTTAGGGTTGGAGAGTATCGGGGCGATAAGGAAAGGAGATGAGGCGTATGCAGCACTGTTGGATTCATAGAGGCGTTAGCTCAGAGCAAACGAAATGGCATCATGGGCAATCAATGACATGCATTCATGCATGCGCGAGACTCGAGTCACGCACCAATGACATGCGCCACATTCACCGCCTGGTGGTCACACATGGCATGGCACCATGGGCCATCATGAGGCAATCAATGACATGCATTCATGCATGCACGAGTCACGCACCAATGACATGCATTCATGCATGCACGAGTCACGCGCACCTATGAAGTGCGCCACGTTGACCGCCTGGTAGTCAAACCTCTGCAGGAACGTCAGCCCCAGCCGCCACTCCACTCGCCGCCGCGTCTCTAGCCACCCCCTCCCCTCTCCCACTCCCCCTCCATTCCCGCCCATGCCCGCGTCCCTCAAGTGCACGAGCGAGTTGACAGCCTCGTCGGTGACGACGCGCAGCGACTCGCTGAACTCCACCTCCTTGTGGCACCCCACCGCCCGCAAGATGGGCTTGGGCTCGTTGGGGGGCGGGGGTGCTTGTTCTTTTGCTGCCACGCACTGGGGCTGCCCCAGAGATATCATCTGCAGGGAAGGGGCGGAGCAGCTTGAGCAGCAGTGAGGCAACGGCGTTGTCATCTGTGCGGAGTAACTCACTCAACTCCGCATCCTTGGGGCTCCTTACGGGTCTAAAATGGACTTGGGCTTGTTGGGAGGAAGGGGTGCAAGCTCCGCTGCTGCCACACAGTGGGGCTGCCCGAGGGATATCAGTGCAGGGAAGGAGAGCAGCAGAGCAGTGACGCCAGCACTCAGTGCACCTGGCGGGGCTCCACGGCCTTGTGGCATCCCACTGGGCGCAGGATAGGCTTTAGCTCGTCGGGAGGAAGGGGCGTTTGCTTGTTTGCTGCCTGCCACACATTTCGGCTGCCCCGGGGAAATCATGTGCAGGCAAGGGTGGTGTTGTGAGCATGTAGACATAACACAGCATATTTCACCATTAGTGTGAGTGAGACCTGTTTCCTATGTTGGAAAAAAACGCACATTTGTGTTTACGTATTGCGTTTAAACGCACCAAGAATACGTACGCTACGTTTTAGGTGTAGATTTGCCAAAAAACGCACGGGCTGACCGGAAAAAAAACCCAATATCTCAGCGGCAGTTCGCAACTGGTCAACAATAAAATTGGGTTTCGCCGTCCGTATTCTGTGCGTACAAGACCCCCCCCTCTGTCGCGCTTTGCGTATACACGCAAGCGTACAAAACGCGAAACGCGTATATTCCAACATAGCCTGTTTCAATATGTACCCGAGTTGCACTCTGCGTGCGTGCTGTTATGCGAGTGCAATAAAGCGGGAAAAGGGAATGCAACAGAATGAAGATGTGACTATGTAAAGGCACAATAAAATGGCCAGCACAGAGTAGTGTACTCTCCATGCCTTTTTGGGAATTCGGCACATCAATCTAGCAGTTCCAGAGGCACAAAATCCACTCCAAGGCGCGCACCTGGTGGCCGTTCCAGCACATGGGCGAGCAGAGGCAGAGGTTCGATTGCCCTTGCACTCCTCACTCCAAGGGGACCTAGAAACAGACTATCGGGTTGTCACCCACCTGGTGGCCGTTCCAGCACATGGGCGAGCAGAGGCAGAGGTTCTGCGAGCAGCAGTAGTTGTTGCGGATGTGGTAACACGAGCACCCCGTCTGCTGCAGAGTCAGCGCCGCCATGTCAGCGTTCCTCTCAAATGACGCCAGCAGATCCTGGACCTGAGAGCAAATGAAAGACAAGGATGAGCGCACGGAGGAAGTGACTTTTGAGACAGCTCAAAAGTCACCTGGCACTATGAAGTGCAGTTCAGGATTCGGGATTCTGAGCAAAGATTCCCCGCACACGGTGGTGCGACGCCAGCAGATCAGATCCCGGACCTGAAAGGCCAGAAACAGTTGAAAGAGTGAACAGAGCGTAACATAACTTGAACGATGAATGAGAAAATGCAGTGCAGTTTATGCGCTGCATAGGAGGGTTTAGAAGGCAGAGAATCCATGGCAACCCAATTGGCAACCCATAAGGAGCGCCGTTGGGGGGTTGCGAGGAGCGGGAGGGTTGATATGACGGTTTAGAGGATGGTAGGCGCGGGGATAGGGCCGGGGTGGTTGGGAGCGTTGATGCACGGCGGTGGGCAGAGTTGGGGTCCGCCAAGGGAAGCGGCGCTCATGGATGGGAATGCAGAGAGGGGCAGGAAAGAGGGGGGTCTGGGCGAGCAGGAGGGCAGGTGGGAGGCTGGGTGGGTGGGAGAGTGGCGAGAAATGGGAGCGTTGTGGGGAGAGGGGGGGTGGATAGGGGTTGTTGAACGGTGGTAAGAGGTTGGGATGCCAGGAAGGCAACGCGTGCATTGGGCAGAGAGGGGGCTGGCGGGTTCATGTGCGCGCGGTGAACGATCGCTGTTGCGGACTCACTCGCTCTCGGAACGCGTCTTCCATCTCGGGGTGCTTCCTGGGCCGCTCTTTGATCAGCGCGCGCACCCCCACCACGCCGTGCCCGCGCGCAACGCGCTCGCGCCCCTCGCTGCGGCCTGCGTGGCCGTGTGTGGAACGGCCGTGTTGGATCGGTGCTATGGGGTCGAGGAGAAGCAGAAGCGCGAGGAGCAGGGAGTGCGGCGAGCAGAGGTGCCTGGGGCGACTCAGACTACCGGATCGCCGTTCATGGCGTGCTCCACCGGATCGCGATTCACGACGACCTGCTGGGCGACGCGTGCGTCTGTGCGGCAGCCATGGCGTCATCGCGGCGCGATGCTGCATTTCTCTTTCTGCAGCACCCGTCGGAACTTGGGTGCAGTCCATTGCAATCCACCTCGCTTTGCTCGCAGCCGCAGTGCGTTTTGGATGAAAGGACCTACAATTCAAACCTCCAGTTCGTTTCACGAGTGAGCTGGTGTAAATAAATACAAAACGGTTCACAGAGGTTTTTATGATCCGTTTGTAAAAATGGCGAACACTTGCTAGAAGAAAGTATCTACTCAACTGAAGGACAGTTATTGTTGACCTGAGGTACCTCAATCTTTCCACTCCCATGGCATGACATGTGGCAACGTCTTCACATGAATTCTTGCATAAATGTCCCAATGGAGCGGCACAGCAGTGCAAATCTTTGATTTCGAAGTGTAAATGGCACCATAAAAAAATGGAGATGGGAACTTGAGGATTTGGGACAAGATTGCACCTATAATACCCCTGTGGATCCAAGCTATCGACTCCACTCCCCTATAAGCTAATACCACAACAGGCAACACAGTAAGAGCGAGACAACTTGGTGACCATAGCGCGGTTGGTGGTGCCCGTGGCCGTGCAAGAGGGCTACGATGCGGGGACCCTGACTTCCAGCAGCTCCACGGTCAGCTGAATGGTGGCGCCGGGCTGCACGGTCACAATTCCAGTGGGCGAGGAGAGGAAGGGCGAATGCTTCACATTGCTTGTAAAGAGGTGATTATGGCAGCTGTGCAGCAGGGAATGTGGGTGGCGAGGTGGAAGGCGAGGTGGAAGCTGACAGGGCGAGTGGAACAGGTGAGTAAGAGCACGGATACTTGATTGGGCACTGCGGTATGTTGTCGTTATGCATGGGAGCCGTCATGCATGGGAGCCCAGGAGCAGTGCTTGTACGGATTGGCATGAGTACGATAGGCCATGCACATGAGCACATGCCACGTTAATGGGTGTCAAGCCTGTTGCAGGACAACAAGGTGATGACATTGCATGCTATACATAGCATGACAAGGCAATGGCACAGCATGGGATGGCATGGCATGGCACAGCATGGCATGGCATGGCACAGCATGAGATGGCATGGCACAGCATGGGATGGCATGGCATGGCATGGCGTGGCGTGGCATGGCATGGCATGGCGTGGCATGGCATGGCATGGCATGGCGTGGCATAGCGTGGCATGGCGTGGCATGGCGTGGCATGGCATGGCATGGCATGGCGTGGCATGGCGTGGCATGGCGTGGCATGGCGTGGCATGGCGTGGCATGGCGTGGCATGGCATGGCGTGGCATGGCGTGGCATGGCGTGGCATGGCGTGGCATGGGATGGCATGGCATGGCATGGCATGGCGTGGCATGGCGTGGCATGGCGTGGCATGGCATGGCGTGGCATGGCGTGGCATGGCGTGGCATGGGATGGCATGGCATGGCATGGCATGGCATGGCAGAGGAGCTCACAGGTATTTCAGCAAAGCCCTTGTCGCCGTAGCCTTGCTCTGGAGGCACAATCACGGTGCGCTGCGAGGAGATGAGAGGAGATGAGAGGAGATGAGAGGAGATGAGAGGAGATGAGAGATGAGAGGAGATGAGAGGAGATGAGAGGAGATGAGAGGAGGTGAGAGGGGGAAAGGGATGGGTAGCGTGTGGTTAGTACGCATAGGATCGATCCACCCGAGGCATTGGATCCATCGCACGGCCGGCTGCATCATCCGCGCCCATCAGAGGCTCTCCCGCTCCTCACTGTGGGTCTTGCCAGCCATCGGCAAAACCCCCAGGAATCGTTGGAGGCATGAGCTGTCAGGCCTGTGCCCCACACGCACGGCCCGTCCATTCTGCCTACTAGCCCCAAGTACAGTGGGTTGGCTGACTTCTACTGCTCCCTCTGCCGCCCCTACACTCACCTCCTCCCCTTCCCTTTCCTCTACCCCCGCTCTCGCCGCTGCCCTCATTTTCTACGCTTCTTGCCACTTTGATCCTAGTACCCGCACTCACCATCCGCCCACTGTTAACTCACCTAACCCTTCTCTTTCTTCCCCTCCCCCAACTCTCACTTCACCTTCGTCCCATCCTTACACGAACTGGCATACTGTCACTCTCACCTTCCCCTCTCCTCTCCCCCAGTCCCCCTTTCCCCCTCTCGACCCCTTCATCCACGCGTGCAGCGCCGTGCTGCTGGGGGGAACTAGAGGCACCATAACTCGTGTCACTCCCACTCTCACCGCTCCCCCATCTTCACCTTGCCCCCCATTCTCGTTCCCTCCACCGCAGCGTAGAGCCCGCATGGCGGTTTGGGTGCAGCCAGCACAGAATACAGCCTCTTAGCTGGCCAGTACTCTCGGGCCTGATTTGCCCTCTCCTACCATCCCTTGGTCAACCCTCACCTTTCTCCCCTCCCACCTGCCCCCCTCTGTCACCTTTCTCCCCTCCCACCTGCCCCCCTCTGTCACCTTTCTCCCCCTCCCACCTGCCCCCCTCTGTCACCTTGACCCCCATGGTCACGTTGCCGCCCACTCGCATGCCCTCCACCACACCATAGAGCAGTCGCGGCGGTTTGAAAGCAGCTTGCGCTGGACGCAACCCGCTGCCTTCCCCTTTTACTGCACTCTTACCGTTCCTTTGCCAGTCCTCACCTTGCCCCCCTCTGTCACCTTGACCCCCTCCGTCACCTTGCCCCCCATGTTCCTGTTACCGCCCACTCACATGCCTTCCACCACGGCATAGAGCAGTCGTGGCGGTTTGTAAGCAGCTTGCCTCCCCCTTTGACTGCGCTCTTACCGTTCCTTTGTCAATCCTCACCTTGCCTCCCTCGCGCATGCCCTCCACGACAGCGTAGAGCGCCTTTGGCGGCTTGGGAGCAGCCTGCGCTGAGAACAGCCCGTTGGCCGACTCTGCGTACTCGCGCTTCCTCTCCGCGCCCGGCTTGGCGCCCAGCGAAAACTCGTATGGCTGTGGGGAAGAAGGAGGGAGGAGAGAAAGTAGTGAGCAGGCGGGATACGCGTGAGAGTCGGGTGAGCGGAGGAGGGCCGTCCATCCGTCCATCCGTCCATCCGTCCATCCGTCCATCCGTCCATCCACTTCCCTTTCCGCTCCTGGCGTGCCGCTCAACGTCACATCACCTGGGTCGGTGGTAGGTAGGGAGAAGGGACGGTGGAACAGGAGGGGCGGAGTGGGAGGGGTTAGATACAAGAGGCATGGGGCAGTGGGGAGGAGAAGGAATCGTGAAGGAAGAGAGAGAGGGGGTTGGGATGGGAGGGGAGAGCAGGTCAGGTTGGGGAGAGTTGGAGGCACGGAATGAAAAGGTCAGAAGAAACGGTTTTAAAATACAGGATGTCAGATTCAGAGAAGCAAAGAAGCCAGCGAAACTGCAGTAAGCCCGAGCTGTGTGTTGCTAGCGAAAGTGAAGTTGAGGCTTCAGATATGGCTCTGCTGCACCAGCGACACGACTCCACTGCACGCAGCACGGGATATGATTCTGGCGCACCTGCGAGATGACTCGGTTGCCGCCCAGCAGCTTGGACTGCCTGCTGGACACCACAGTGAGGCTGCGGTAGGTGACGTCGAAGTGCACCTGGGAGGAGTGCAAGGGGATAGCGGGAGGAGAGAAGCGTCAGTAGTCCCACGAGAAGGGTCTCAGTTGAACCCCCCAGCGACGCTGCAGTGAAAAATGGCGTCCAAGTGCACCCGGGTGGTCAGCAGGTGAAGGGAGAGGGGGTCAACGAACCGAATAGGAGGATTGTGCAACGGCACATGGTACTTCCCCTTGGACAAGCAAGGACTAGGAAGAATAACCCCTGACGCGTACTGCTCTCAGCTCCTGCCCACCCGCCAACCCCCCCGCACCCAAACAGGCGCCCTGCCTCCCCTCCCCGCATCTCACCACCACCGGCTCGCCCTTCTCCGCCAGCTTGCCCTTGCCCTCCACCACGTCGTAGTAGCGCAGCCCACTCTCTGCGAGACGGCCGCATTTGGGGGGGGGGAAGGAGAGGGAGAGGGGAGGGGGGAAGGAGAGGGAGAGGGGAGGGGGGAAGGGCGGGCAGAGGGAGGGTGGGGAAGTGGGCTCAAGCGATGACTACATTCACGGGGATGCTTCTCATCCCAGTCTGCCCGCCCCCCCCACGCCGTAGTACAGCAGCCCGCCCTCTTGAGAGACACGCGCCTGCAGGAAATTAGGAAGGGGCGGCGGGAGAGAGGAGGGGAGAGGGGGTGTGGGGGTGAAGAGAGAGGGAGGGTACGGGAGGGAGGGCAAGAGTATGGGATGCATTCACGTCGCACTTGGGCTTCTCCTCTCGCGACCTGACCCCTCGCCCTCGCCCTCGCCCTCGCCCTCGCGCGCGCCTGTGCCGTCCATAGAATCCAGCGTGTGGCAGCCGGTGGAGGGATGGAGAGCGTGGGGGGTAAGGAAGGAGGGCACATGTGAGAGGAGAGGAGACTGTCGTAGAGGAGTACAGAGAGATTGTGGCTCTGAGAAATGATATTCTCTTTATTAGAGGCATCTTTATCTATGATTTGAGCTCATCCAAGGACGGGCAAGCAGCTGTTTTGCCACCCACACCCCCGGTACACCACTCCGCTCCGCCCTGCCAACGTCTCCCTGCGTTCCTTTCCGATGCCCTTTCTCCCACCAAGCTCGCACCTTCAAGCTCGAAGGTGCCTTTCTTCCGAATTGCCTTACCGCCCCTTGCCTACCTCCGTCTTGGTACATCTCCGGGGGAATGTCGATCCTCGTCCGCCGCTCCCGCGCCAGTGCCACGTCAGCACCTCCATTTTTGGATCCGAACAGCGAATCCAGCGCTGGCAGCAATGCGAGCGACGAGAGCATGACGCGTCTCGTCATGCTGGCGTCAGCATTTGCTGTACTCGAATCGACAGAAGAAGCAGACAGGACGGAATCCGCGGCTGGTGTTGGCACGGAATCGCGAACTGCGGCGACATTCGCGAATTCGGGAATTGCTTGGCATGTGACAGTCAGTTCAGCAGACTTCAACCGCTGGCTTGAAGTCAGCGGTTGCGAGATGGAGTGCGAAGGGGTAACCAGTCGTAATGCGGGTGTGAATGAGGAAGCGATCGACATGGCTAGGGGCTGCGCACTCGAATTGCAGTCGTCGTCTTCCCTAAAGTAGCAGCAGCGGAATTGGCGGCTCGGGCTAATGAGGATGCAGTAGTTTGCGCAGAAGAGAAAGGTAAAGCTGATGCAGAGAATGACTTCCAGTCGCTGGGATGGGTCGTAGTGTCTGAGGGTATTGCGCTTGGAATGGGCAGCGTGGGGAGTTGGCGACATCAATATTGTCCGTTCGCTTGCTGGACGGCTTTCGCAGATATCGTAACGGGGTAGCGGTGGTGACGATTTCAAACGATGACGACGAAGTGGTTATTTCGTCTGCCCGTGCGACACATCCTCCGCAAACGAGGGCATTCGCGAACTCCATGTCGGGAAACTCCTCCTGAAAGTTCTTCGCCAGAAGTGGTGCCACGCCTCACATCCCCGAGATTGACGTGGCGGATCAAGCGTCTGAGGCACGAGAGGAAGCCACGATACCCACAAGGCGCCACGTAACGTCAGGAACCTTGGGCGTTGAGCTCTCAGAACACCGATCGGTTGCAAACTCAGTACACTTGCATTTAGAACTCAAATTATGGACAAGCATCACTCGCATAGACGTTCACTATACCTTGGAGAAGAAATACCACTTAGCGTTAATTTGGGGGAAAAAAACTATGTAAACTCGTATTCAACAGGGTAATTTAACCTAGAGTCATTAGTGCGGGCTCATCTCGCATTGCACCCCCTTCTCCCCTGACTGCATCTTCCCCTGCCTTGAGCTTCTTCTCTAAATGCCCTGCCATACGATCCACCGCTCCCAACCCCTCATGCCCAGCTGCATGATCCTTGTCCTCACCACTTCCCACCCCATCTTGATCCTCAACAGCCCGATGCTTGCGCTCACCACCCACTGTGGCAGCTCCTGGCCGTGCTGCTGCAACATCTTCTCCTCTCTCCACATCTCTCGTCTCTCCCCCATCCTCTTTCCTCCTCTCCGCTCCTCTCCATACTGCTTCCACCTCGTCTGTTCGAAACCGCTGCGTACAAGTGGACTCCTCTAAAGGCACAGTCATGCTCATCCCCCCATATTGGAATGCCAGCAGCCCTGTGTATGCAATCATGGCACCGTTGTCGATGCAGTAGCGGTCGTCAGTGGCAAAGAGCCTCCCCCCTCGCTCTAAGCACATCTGCTGCATCATCTGCTGCAGGCGAATGTTGCAGCCCACGCCCCCCACTATAAGCACGTCGCTCTTGTTGCAATGTGCCATCGCTCGCTCGGTCGTCTCCACCAGCATTGCGAATATGGTTTCCTGTGCAAGAACGGAGTTTTAATAATTGACAGGACGGGGGCAGGATGAGAATAGGAAGAGCCGGCAACCAACTGCACGAAGAAAGAGAGGGCTCACCTGCAGCGAGAAGCAGAGGTCGGCGGGGGTGTAGTCCACGGTGCTGCCAGGTGCGGCCATCTGGTCCGCCAGGCCCTCGACGAAGCTGAGCATGCCGCTGAACGACACGTCCATGCCCTTCACCACATACGGCAGCTCCACGTACTTGCTGCCCTGCTTTGCCAGCTGCGGAGATGGGACGGGGGGGAGGTGGCAAGAGAGAGAGAGCAGCCAGTGGGAGCAGAAGGGCTGAGCGGGCGCGTGCATGGCCGCCACCACACACAGTAGCTCCACGCACTGCCCGCCCTGCTCTAAGAGCTGCACGCACGAGTGGATGGATGGATGGGTGGGTGGGTGGGTGGGTGGGTGGGTGGGTGGGTGGGTGGGTGGAGGGGAACAGGAAAGAAGAGGCGAGGGAGAGTGGGGGAGTGGGGCTTGGGGGACACGCAAGAATACTGGTGAGGGCACGACAACCATGGCCCTCACGACGAGGAAGGATGAGAGTGTGCGAGCGATGCGAGAGCCACACACAGTGTACGGCTGTGCAGTTGTGGAAGAGGCCGGCCACCTACGGCTGCACACACTGTCTGGGGGTTCCTTTCTGCTCCCACTCTTCTCACCTCCACCACCTCCTCGCCTGCTCTCCCCTAGTTCGTACCCCGGGCCGGGGTCGCTGAGAATATTGAGCACATGAGCAAAGCGGAGCTCTTGCCTGTAAACCCTGCCGTGCTTCCCCTCGCACACATCGGTGCCCCCACCTGCTCAATGTTGTAGCCCGGGCTGGGGTCGTTGGGGATCTTCAGCACCCGCGCAAAGCGGTCCAGGCAGTTGCCCACGGCGATGTCGATGGTCTCTCCAAAGATGCGGTAGCGCCCCTCGGAGTAGGCGATCACCTGGTGACACGGGGGGGGGGGGGCTAACACAGAACGGCGTGAACTGCCACTTGCCATGGCAGCAGTGATGGCCTCGCCGAATATGCGGTAGCAGCCCTTGGAATAGGCAATGAGGTGAGGCGATGTTGTGGATTCATTTGGTTCACGCACAAGGAAAGGGTCTGCTTGAAGGCAATTGCCCACAGCAACCCTCTGAGTATGCATTCACCTCGTGCAGAAAGGAGGCAGGGGGGGAGATGGGGAGGGAGAGGCATGGGGGGGAGATGGGGGGGAGAGGCATGGTGGGGAGATGGGTAGGGGGGGAGGCATGGGGGGGAGATGGGGGGGAGGGGGGGATACCGGGGTGTGCAAGCAACTGATGGCAACCCTCAGGGTAGGCAATCCCCTGGTGGGGATAGGAGGAGGGTATTGATGTGGAATGAATGGGTTTTGATCCAACTCGAAACAGTTAGCTGGCGTGGAGAAAATGCGATGGCCTCCTTGCGGGTGCAGCCAGCACCGATATTGATGGTTGCCGCAAGTAAGATGAGTCATCAGGGTGCATTGCACGTACAAGACTTACACACCTACGTTAAGCAGTGTATACGTGTCTGTACACATATATGCACGTGTGAATGCACCACCGACCTGTGTGTTGCCGCCGCTGACGTAGAGCACAACAGGGTCCTTGGCCCCCGTGACGCAGCGCCCCATCTCAATGTGCGCCACACAGTGGTTCACAGGGACTATGGGCCTGCGCCACAGCTGGTGAGGGACGGAAGGGGGGGAGAGGGGCGAAAGGAAAACACGGCCTATGAGTCATCTCTATGTGCGCCGTGCCACACAGTGGTTGACCGGCACTATGGCTTTCGCCAAAGCTGATAAGGGTGGGCGAGGCTGATAACGGAGGGGAAGGGTGGTGAGTGTGCTGGAGGGCAGTTCCTGTGGCCACCGTGCACCCTCCGCCTCACGCCATGAGAGGTGCTGCGCCTGGTTAGTCAGGTGCATGAGTGCATCAGGCAGGCATGCACGGGGCAGGTACAGCATGCACGGGGCAGGTACAGCATGCACGGGGCAGGTACAGCATGCACGGGGCAGGTACAGCATGCACGGGGCAGGTACAGCATGCACGGGGCAGGTACAGCATGCACGGGGCAGGTACAGCATGCACGGGGCAGGTACAGCATGCACGGGGCAGGTACAGCATGCACGGGGCAGGTACAGCATGCACGGGGCAGGTACAGCATGCACGGGGCAGGTACAGCATGCACGGGGCAGGTGGTGCATGGGGCAGGTAGTGCATGCATGGGGCAGACACGGTAACAGATAGACCATGAGAAACAAAGCGGGAGTGGGCATGAGCACGCAGATCAGTGGGCATGAGCAGGGTTCAGGGCACTGTCACCTGGGCCAGCTGTACCTGGGCCAGCTGTACCTGGGCCAGCTGTACCTGAACTTCTTAGAGACAGCTTGACCGCACTTGGGCTCGCCGCTGTGTCGCACACACTCCTTCACCCTGGCTCGCTTCCCCCTCTTTCTTCCTGGTACTAGCTACCCTGGATCCTTCACCTTCTGCCCTTGGCGTCTTTTGTAGGTTACTACCTCTTGCTGCACCCTCTCATAGAAAAAGATCCCGAGGCCAACTCGCTATCCCCTCGTCTCCTTAGCTCTCCTTTATCTATCCTCTCATCGTGGATCTAACATTTGCCCGGGAATGCTTCCACTAGCAACAAGGCATACAAGTCTTCCCACGGTGTACGAGAGAACAAACAAAGTGATGAAGTGATTGCTCAGCCTTGGTTTTGTACTCCCTCACTAGAGGAGACATCCTGGGCCAAACCCATCCCTCCCAACTGCTCAAGCCGCGCGCCGTTTCGGGATTTTCTCCCCCGTGATGGCCCCCAGTAATTGCGCCATCCCTGCACCAATCCCCTCTCTGCATGCCTGCTCTCCGTGTCGCTTTCACCCCTGCTGACCTGGATGACGTCAGCTCTCCCACCATCCCAACTGTCGGCCTCCGCACCAACCGCCTATCCTTGACTTCGGTACTGTATATCCAATCCCAGAATCGCGGAAAAACGACACTCTATTCTTACCCCCAAACTTCCGTGCTGTCCCATGCATTCTTGGTACTTTTGTGTTACCAAGAGTCATGCGACAGCTGGGCTCACTGAACCTGGGCTCACCGCACCTGGGCTCAGCGCACCTGGGCTCACTGCACCAGGGCTCACTGCACGTGAGCGAGCGTGGCACATCGAGGTGTTATACCTGGGCGAGTGTGCGCACGACAATAGCCACGGACTGCAGAGGGGCGCCCATTCCCGGGCCCTTGGTGTAGCACAGACAGTCGATGTCCGCTGGGGTGATGCTGGCCTGCACGCGCGCACACACAGACGCACAGAGAGACAGCAGGAAAGAGTAAGAGGCGCTTGACAACATGCCCGGGCCCTTGGCGTCGCCCCGACAGTCAAGCTGCGCAGGACGCAAAGTGTTGCCAATGCTGCCCTGCTGCCTCACCGTAGCTTCAACCAATCTCACTTCTGCATCTACAGAGCCCACCTCACAGAAGTTTTATAAGTTCTTCTTTGTAGCAAATACGAAGTTATAAGAGCCCACCATCTTGTGCAGCGCCTGTGTGACCAGCGCCAGGATGTGCTGCGGTGGTGCCCTGCCGTCAACCAATCTCACTTCTGCACATTCTAGAGCCCAACTCATAAGAGCCTTTTCCCCCCAACACGTGAAACAAACAAGCCATGCAGCGCCAAGATGTCTACTCACCTCGTGCAGCGTCTGTTTCACCAGCGCCAGGATATGCTGTTGGTGGTGCACGGGCGTCTCGCGTGGCATGAACCCTCAACTGCTAACCAAAAAACATCCATGCACCTTACCTCCCATAAAGCTCTCTTGTCCAGCGCCAGGATGTGCTGCTAGTGGTGCCCGGCCGACTCTCAGGCAGGGCATGACATGACCCCCCCTCGTGTGCCAACAACTAAGCCCTTCACGCCGAGCCTCAGAAACACCCACCTCCTCCAGCGCCCGTGTGACGAGCGCCAGGATGTGCTGCTGGTGGTGCACCGCTGTCTCGCGCGGCAGGAAGCCGTGGCCCGGCGGCGTGATGTACGTGCAGCGCGGGTTGCTCAGGATGGTGCCGTCGGCGCGCACCACCCCCATGCCCAGCTTGTTGGCCGACCCCTCGCAGCCCAGCGCTAGCATTGTGCTGGGGCGCGGAGAGGGGAAGAGAGGGGGAGCGACGGGGGCGGGTGTTTGAGGGTGAGAGGGCAAGGGGGAAAGGATGGAGGGGGGAAGGATGGAGGGGGGGAGGATGGAGGGGGGAAGGATGGAGGGGGGAAGGATGGAGGGGGGGAGGATGGAGGGGGGAAGGATGGAGGGGGGAAGGATGGAGGGGGGGATGGAGGGGGAGGATGGAGGGGGGAGGATGGAGGGGGGAAGGATGGAGGGGGGAAGGATGGAGGGGGGAAGGATGGAGGGGGGAAGGATGGAGGGGGGAAGGATGGAGGGGGGAAGGATGGAGGGGGAAGGATGGAGGGGGGAAGGATGGAGGGGGAAACGCGGAAGAAAGCGGGTTGGGGAGCAGGGAAAGAAGGGAGGGCGGGAAATGGGGGTGGCGGAGATGGGCGCGGGGAGGTTGGCGCGGGGAGGACGTTGCAGAAAGAGGAGGTTGGGGAGAGGGACAGGGGGGAAGGGAAGGCCAGGAGAAGTCTTTCGAGGGAGCGCACAGGGGGCGCACAGGGGGCGCACAGGGGGCGCACAGGAGGGCATGGGAGGCAGGTAGGCGACGATCTTTGGGCTACAAGGTGACTCGCGGGGGGTGGGGGGGGCGATGGGAATGGCGCGAAAGGCCAATGCGGGGGGGTGGGGGGGGTGAGGGGACTGCTCGATACGCGACCCGGTGCGCAATGCAAGTAGGGGGGAGCAGGTCGGTGCGCGGCGCAGACGAGACGCTGCTGGGCGGCAGGCAGGTGTGGGACCGGCCATGGCAGAGATTCGATTGGAGCACGAGACCTGCGAGCGCACGCACCTTTTTTGAAAAGTGAAATTCGGCTTGGGGGAGAAAAGCGGAGTGGCCACACGCTTTGTGGGACTGGATCGCGACTCTTTCGTTTCTTGCACTGCCCGACGGGGACTTGCTCCCTGCTCGTTCACTGCCTTCGAGCTGGAGCGGCTGCCTACTGCCTAATCCTCGACTCTGCAGAGCTAGTGATACGCACGACAGAAGCCTGTGAATCGAGAAATAAGAGGCCGCTCCGAAGACCACTCGTTGTAGTCGCAGCCGACGACTAACGGCTCAAAAGCGCCTGCAGCGTCGTAGTGGGAGCACAACAACAGGAGGGAGCGGAACTGCTTGCTCAAAATGTCGCTTCAGGTCGAACAGCAGGACGCCTCGATACTGGTGCTCGGAATGAACAAAATAAAGAGCAAAAGGATGGGCTAAGGCAAAGCACAAAGGCAGTTTAATTATAAACACTCGCTAAAAGTAATTAAATAATTTGGACCATCTATTGAGCAGCAAGTGCAAGTTATCATATTAGCATGATTGCACCGTTAATCATGCATTTGTATTTCCAACAAGAACATGCGCAAAAAATGGCATTTGACCACATTAGCCTGTATACTTTCTTCAATTGCTATTCGGCAAGGTCAATTTGTTGCATTGCATCTACTGTAATCTCCCGGCAATAGGACCCTAGGTCTTGCTAAAAAATCAGGGAAAATTGTCTAGGTGGACAATAAGGCGGAAGGGAATTTTTAAGACCCGTGTTCATTTAATTATTACATAAGGATGTGGATTTATAACTATGTAGATGGGCTTTTACATGGGAGCTTTTGTTTGAAACGGGGGGGGGCACATTCTTATCCTCGGCTTGTGGAACCATCATGAGGGACATGCGTCAAGATCTGAAACCCGACGGCTGCAAATTCCGCAACGCTGGCACGTCGCTAAATCATATTGACTGCCAGCGCGAATGGTTACATCGAGGTGGGTTGTGGTGTTCTGGATCTGCCCACAACTGCCTTAGGACATACGTTTTCCTTGCCAAGAAGGCAAGGTTCCCACATCGTCGAGTCGACCTAGACTCACGTCCATCTCAGGCCCGTCTTCTGGGTGCGGTTGACACTGTGACTAGTCTCATTTCTGTGTCTCCTAGCGCCTGCTGGCCCCGCGGCCACGTTCCCAAGCGCCTAGCCGCCCCGCTGGTCCCGTGGCCCCATCACCTAGCGCCTAGCCGCCCGTGGCCCCGTTGCCCCGCCACCTAGCGCCCAGCTGGCCCCGCGGCCCAATCACCTAGCGCCCAGCTGGCCCCGCGGCCCAATCACCTAGCGCCTAGCCGCCCGTGGCCCCGTTGCCCCGCCACCTAGCGCCTAGCCGCCCCGCTGGCCCCTCGGCCCCGTCACCTGCGCCTAGCCGTTCTGCTGGCCCCGCGGCCGCGTCGCCCCTAGCGTAGCCGCCCTGCCGGCCCGTCGCCTAGCCGCCCCGTGGCCTAGCCGCCCCGTGGCCCCGTCGCCCAGCCGCCCCGCAGCCTCGTCGTCCAGCCGCCCCGCACTACGTTGCTCGTGGCTTCAAGGCGCGCTACGTTACTCGTAGCTTCAATCAGCGTGAGGGGGTTGACTTCCTTCAGACCTTTGCCCCAACTTCGAAGATAACTACTCTTCGGGCACTGCTATACATAGCAGTACAGCGTGACTATGAGCTGCACTCACTCGACTTCTCCACAGCTTTCCTCCAGGGCAGCCTACACGAGCAGGTCTACCTGCGCCGCCCCCAGGGCTTCTCCGGTACCTTTTCCCCTGGTACCGAGTGGCTCCTCCGGCGCCCCATTTACGGCCTGCGCCAGGCGCCCCGTGAGTGGCAAAACACGCTGGGTGCTACACTTGCTGACCTGCAGTTTTTCCCGTCGTCTGCAGACCCCTCTCTCTTCGTCCGTTCCGGCCAGACTGCGTTCTACATCATTGTTTACGTATACGATCTGGTCTTTGCTACTGCAGACAGAGGCGCGCTGGCCTCCGTAAAGGCCGAGCTGCTGAGGAAACACACATGCACTGACCTAGGAGAGCTGCGCCGCTACCTTGGCTTGCAGATCTCCAGGGACAGAGCAACCCGCACCATCACTCTCACACAGTCACATTTGGTGCGCCAGGTCCTTCAGAGGTTCGGCCTTCAGTTCTCTTCCGCACAGCCCACCCTTCTGCCAGTAGACTACAGACTCTCTGCTCGAGTCCTGGAGGAGGCTGTAGAGCCTAGTGGTCCTTACGCAGAGCTGGTAGGTTGTCTCATGTACCTGATGAGTTGCACTCGTCTAGATCTCGCATACCCTCTCAGCATCCTGGCTCGCTTTGCGGCCTCCGGCAGACACCGACCAAGCACTGGTCTGCAGCTAAAAGGGTTATGCGTTATCTAGCAAGTACATCGGGCATGGGGCTAGTGCTAGGAGGACGCAGACCAGTGGTCCTTACCGGGCACACAGACGCTTCTTGGGCAGACGATGGCCTAGCTCTGCCCCGGACCTGTACGCTGACAACAGGGCCATGATCCTCCTGTGTCAGGAACCCAGACTCGAGGGCAGAGCGAAGCACATCCAGCTGCGGTACTTCCTCCTACACGAGCTACAACAGCGTCGCCAGGCCCGCGTAGTACACTTGGCCTCCGTTGCCAACAGAGCTAATATCTTTACGAAGGCGCTTGCGCCTAAAGATGATCAGTGGCACTGCGTACAGCTTGGTCTCGTTCCTGTAGCACCTCATTTGCTAGCACCTTGATTGTGTATATCTGTTTATATATTATCCTGACTGGCCTTGTGGCTTTCTCCAAGTGGCTGGACTAGTAGTGCTGCCCTGGTCTTGTTCTTGCCTTGCTTGTACTCGTTTGACTGGTCTTTAGACCCCTGCCTCAGAGGTTGGACTAGTAGTGCCGCCCTGAGCTGCTTGTCTCTTACTTGGCTCTGCCCCTATCTAGTCTAGGGGTGGTGTCAAACATATGTGTGTATGTTTAGTAGACTATATAGGGTCAGACACCCGTCTTTCTCGAGATGCTGTATGAGAGGACATTGAATCATCGCAGCAGCCGTTCCGTCAAATTCGCAGCGCAGGTTACGAGAAAGAAAGGCTAACCGTAATGCTGGCCATCTCTGCAACCGGCCGCAAGCTTCTTCCCATGGTCGTTTTCAAGCGCAAGACAATCCCCAACATCCGCGCCCCTCCAGGTGACCAACTGTATTGTTTGCTCAGAAAATGACTACCATGCGCCTAACATAATCTCTACGTCTCTTTGCAGGGCTCCTCATCCGCGCCCTTGAGCGTGGCTGGATGGGCTCCGGTCTAGTACAGGACTGGGTGCAGCATATCTTGCTGCCCTTTGTCCGCCCCCCGCCAGGTGTTGCAAGGTCCAAGACCTTGCTGGTACTGGACTCGTACCACGGGCACCTGACGGACGCGGTGCTTGGCTCCCTCAGGTGGCATCGCATCACCCCAGCAATCATTCTGGGCGGCTGCACTCCCCTGCTGCAGCCGCTGGACGTGGTCATCAATCGCGCGTTCAAGGCGGGAGTGCGCCACAACTACAACGAATGGTTCGAGAACGAGGGGATTGAGTCTCTCACGGCCGCCGGTAAGTGCTGTACAAAGCCTGGTTGTTTCTCATGCATCCTTACTCTTTGCTCTGCATTGTACTACCCTTCCGTACCTGAGTGCCTTGTGTGTGCATTGTGTCTTGTTGTGATTTGTGCAGGCAACCTGAGGAAGCCGCCCCCTGAGGTGGTCCTCAGGTGGGTTGCGACCTCATGGGATGACGTGTCGGAGGAGATCATCGTCCGAGCATTCAAAACGTGTGGCATCAGCAACAACCCCGACGGCAGCGAGGACCACTTGGTCCTCATGCACATGCACGACACTGCCCAAGTGGAGGTGCACGACGACGTGCACGCCGCCGGCAACGACGAGGAGTGGGTTAACCCACTCTACATGGCTGGCGAGGAGGAGGAGGAGGAGGAGGAGGAGGAGGAGGAGGAGGAGGAGGAGGAGGAGGAGGAGGAGGAGGAGGAAGAGGAGGAGGAGGAGGAGGAGGAGGAGGAGGAGGAGGAGGAGGAGGAGGAGGAGGAGGAGGAGGAGGAGGAGGAGGAGGAGGAGGAGGAGGAGGAGGAGGAGGAGGGCGAGGAGGAAGAGGAGGAGGCAGGGGAGGAGGACGACGAGGAAGGCGGCTTGGCGGAGGAGGGAGAAGTGGAGGGGGGAGGGGCGGAGGATGGAGAGGCGGAGGGGTTTGAGGAGGAGGGGGGAGAGGCGGAGGCAGAGGCGGAGGTGGACTTTGGCTTCGTGGAGTGATGTCTTGATGGGCTGCAAATGTGCTGTGCTGTGATTGTGTCGGGCTGAGGGTGTGGCGTGGAGTGAGTACTGGTATGCCATGCTGAGGTTGTGTCTTCCTGCGAATCTGTCGTGCTGAGAGTGTGTCATGCTCCGAATCTGCTGCGCTGAGGCTGTGCTGTCCTGTGACTGTACCGTGCCGTGATTGTTCCCTGCTGAGGTTGTGTCGTGAAGTCTTGATGACTTGCTGCCGTGCTCTGCCAAGTTGATGGTTTAGGGATGCCCTAGAGCTCCAGAGCAGTTGATGTGTAGAGTGTCTGGCTAGCAGACTGCACTGCCTAGGATATGCAGTGCGTACAAGGTGAAAGAGTGGGAGATGATGGTAGTGCTCACTCACCACGTAGAAGATGGAAGGCCAGGCAAGGCTGAGTGTAGGATGATCTAGTTTATGACTGGTAACCCTTGTGAGCAAAGAGATGCCTGAAGTAAAATTTTTCAGCTCGTTTTTTGTCCCAAAACCACAATTTAAGGCCACATTACTCGGGAAAATCTCCTAGAAACAAAGATGGGGGGTCTTCAAAAGAATTTTGCCTAAAAAGGGGGTCCTCACGAGGTATTTGCAGAAAAAAAACCCCGTGTCTGGAAAGAAGCCCCATGGTCTCATTTTCAGGGGGGTATTGTTGCCGGGAGATTACAGTACGATTCCGTCTGCAAACCTCAAAACTCGGCGCTCCGAGTGCCAATCTGCAATGGGCACAAAAGGCATTATGCTACTACAAAAACAAATCCTCAAGCAAAAATCAAGCTCAGAGAATGCAACATGGGCCATTAATAAATGTTGAGAAAGAACAACAATTGGAACACAAACGGGGAGAGCTCGTGTGGGCGGAACCATGACAGTAGATTATTCTGATGGGTACAGAAGTCATTAGATTACAGGTGTAGCATATGTAGAACGAAAATGGCAGGCCACTCACTTGGTCAGATAACCATGGCCCTCACACTGCAAGCCATGATTCCCAAACGGCCTGAACGGAAAGGAAAGAGGAGTGCGGAAACGAAGGGCGGAAGGGAGTGTTCCAAGGGGGGGGGGGGGGGGGGGGGGGAAGAAGTGGGGAGGGGGGGAGGGAGAGTAGTCCAACACATGAGAGGAAACAGCAGCAGCAGCAGCAGCAGACGCAACAGCCACCAAACCAGATCACACAGGCAGCAGTTCAGTCACTCATGCAGTAGGCATGACACAACACCAACCACCCAACCAGTGACCAGAGAGTGCACACAAAGCCACATAGCGTGGTGCGCATGCGACATTCCATGGTGATAATAAGTGACACTCGCATTCAACAGCGGGCCCTTACTTCCTGAAGCTTAAACAATTCCTCTAAAGGCTTTCTCCAAAGACACTTACCATAGGTTTATCTGCGCATTCATACATCATGCTTCCATTTCGTCATGTGCCCTCCTTTCAGTCACATCCCTAGGCGTCCAATCGTCCTCCCCAGCAGCCACCTCATTCGCCAGCAGCGCTCCTAGCAGAGCAGCCCTCAGTGTGTCGTCCCTGTGCCGCCCCACCATCGACCACATGTGTCGAACCTGGCGGCCCTCGGGACCTGTCAGCTCTAGGTACGGCACCACGACAAGGTGCTTTGCGAAGAGTGGTGCAATGCGGTTGAGTCGGTTCTGCTCCCACGTGGCCTCCTTGAGGTGGCGGTTGGAAGGGTCCTCGTTGTACCAAGAGTCCAGGAACTGAGGGGCGGAGGAGAGCGGCCAACACACATGAAGGACTCAAGGCGCGGGGGAGGGGGTGCAAGGCAATGAAAACCACCTGTGTAGAAGCCTGCACCTAGGATTCCTAGAGAGTCACGACGCCAGGGGGGAGGAAAACTGGAAGGTGTTGAAAAGAACACACTGAGAAAGGGCACTGTTGAGCGTGAGATTTAGCAGGCAGGAAGCAGCAGAGGGCTCGCGCTTGCAAGGCAGGGGCATGAATTGAGAGAGAGTGCGATGAACGCATGCATGTGATGGGAACGAGGTGACTTTTGCACCTTGCATGAATTGAGACAGTGCGATGAACGCATGCATGTGATGGGAACACCGGACAAGAACCTCAAGGGAACCTGAACGGTAATGTGAAGAGCGTGGGTGGGCACCTGGAAAGTGAGGCGAGAGCGTCTGAGCAGCATGACCCCAGCATTAATGGACTCGAGAGAGGCGTTGAAGAGAGCAGCAGGGGCGCCATTCTCCTCCCCTGAATTCCGGGCAAACAGACCAATCAGCTCCGAGGGCTCCTCCGTGCATGGGCCAGGCTGAGATGCCGATTGGCTGCATGCTGCCACGTCAGCAACAGAAGGATCCAGCAGAGCAATGGGGAACTGCGGCATCCACGTCTGATTGGTCAGCTCCATGCCGTAGCGATCTCTTATCCAGTTGAAGGCTCCCTGGAGAAATATGAACGACGCAGGCGAGAGAAATAGGTGGGCAAGAAGGAATGAGGTGAGGGGGCGAGGAAGCATGGTGAGAGAAGCGTGGAAGTTGTCATCCGTACTTTGATTCTTCCTTGGGAAGGCGCAAGAGCCAGTTTGTTGGTGACTGCGCGGCTCACCAGCAGCGCAGAGGCGCGGTGGGCATGAGGTGAACGTGGGCGGACAGCAGCGCCCACAGCCTATAAACCGTTCTCATACAGACGGCCTCCCACCCACTGCCAGGCTGCCACGCCATCATTGCCAGCACGCCTGCCATGGCCAGCTCAGCATCGCCAATCATTGCCAGCTCAGCATCAACGGCCATTACCAGCTCAGCTGATTCACAAGTCAATGCTTACAAACCATAACTGCCAAGGAGCAAGCCTGGCTTGCTGACCGTGAATGGCAGGGCAGCGAGCCAGGCTTCAATGGAGAGGCGGTGGGTGTCCATGTGGAGGTAGGCATCCGAAGTAAGGATTGAACCAGCTCAAAGGCCACCTCGTTACACTGACTGTGAATGGGGATCCAGCGAGCCACGATTCATGCCAAGGCAGGCGTCCGAGGTGCCTTTTGAGTCTACGCAGAAGTCACCTCTTTAGACTGACCGTGAAGGACAGGCAAGCCATCCTTTGACGGAGAGGCCGTGGTTGTACGGAGATGGGCATCGTAGTCGACGTAGAATGCCCACGCGCAGCCGAACAAGCAGCGTTGATTGCAGCAGGGAGGAATCGGCAGTGGCGCTTACTGTGAATGGCAAGGCAGCGAGCCACGCTTCGATGGCGAGGCGGTGGTTGTCCATGCGCAGATAGGCGTCGGAGTCCAGGTAGAGCGCCCACGCGCAGCAGCAGCGCAGCTGGTCGCGCAGGAACAGCAGCTGGGGGACGGGGGTCGGTGGATGAGGAGGAGAGGAGGGGTGAGGGGCGGGTAGGGACGCGTTTGTGGAAGCTGGACGAAGGAAGAGTGCAGGTGGGTGTGAATATGAAGAAAGTGGCGGTGAGGACGGATGAGGGCGAGGGCTGGGGAGACGAGCGACGGAGATGGGAGAAACGAGACACGAGACAAGGGGAAAACGAAGGAGGGACGGCACAAGGGGTGCTGATGATGGTGTGGATACGCACGGAAGAGAGTGCACTACTAGACTACTGAATAGGTAACTAACGATGAAAGCGTAAATGCGGCAGGAAAGGCCGCACACTCGAGCAAACTCCCCATGCCCGGTGTGCACACCTTGAGCCACGAGGGGTGGCGAGTTTTGTTGTACTCCCGCGTGTCCTGATTCACGTAGCGGTAGCCGTGGCGCCTTGCGTACAGCCTGGCAGGCAGGAGGGGGAAGGGGAGGGGCGAGAGAGGGGTGAGGGGGGAGAGAGGGAGAGAGGGAGGGAAGAGGGAGGAGAGAGGGACAGAGCCGGAAGTCGTTTCTTTCCCCTCACAGAACGATGGGATGGCCATGGCGATGGGCAAGGAGCGTGAGATGGAGGAGGAAATGAGCCATGCGGTAAGAGCAGGAAGGGAGCAGGAAAGGGGTCCCCATGGCTCGTGGCATCCATGCTTCTTAACTAGCAAATCGGATCAGGATGTGAAGCGGCATTATTCTCAAAGGCTGCTTCGCGGTTTGGGCCAAGATAGAAGAGCCGAAATGAAATGCGTGCCGGAATGAGCTGGGAGGCGGAATGCGCGGAATGCGAGACCCACTGATTGATGGCTTTGGACGCCATCCAGAAGGGCAGGGCGCGGCCGTTCTTCTCAAAGTAGTCGTACCCCGCCGCCTCCACGTAGTCACTCGCCTGCCGGCTGTCACTCTGCAGAATGCACCCCGGCAGACGCGCACCTGCGCTGCCATCCGCGTTTTCAGTGCCGTAGTCAGCCGCACCAGCAGCAGCACCGTTGGCACCACTATGACTGGCTTTGCCACTGGTGTCTGTGGTGGTGCTGATGCCTGCCTTTGAATGGCAGTCGGTCCATTTCAAGCCAGGATATGGCTCTGTGATTCGGGTGGGTCACACGTGGGTCAGGGAGGTACGGAAAATAAGAGATAGACAAAGAAGAAGAAGCTCTAAACGAATTGTGGAAATGACACAAGAAATTAGTGGACGTGGCACGTCCTGGACACGTCCATAAGGGGACGAGCCGACGGTGTGGTGAGTGGAAAGAGAAGAGAAGATGCTGACAAAATACGTTTCATATCATCAATCCACTATCTACAGACAAGGCGGGCTCTGCAATCCTTGGAAACGTTTCTGACACTCACGTGCATACCATAGATCGACCTCTCCACCCGATCAACGGCTGCAGACACGCGCGCAGTCCGAGCGTCCAGGCGTGCTTTTAAAATGGACATTTCCTCCTGGTTGCAGGGTTGGGGACAGCGGTTGAGGGGATCCAGAACGGTTAAGTGCATAGACGGCTGAAACGTGCATGCCACTACAGGTTAAAGTGAGCAGCTGGCATCCAGGCGTGCTACTGAATGGCATGTCCGCCTGAATACACAACAGAGGCCCAAGATACAGTTCACCATCGATCCGTGGCTCGGACAGCCAACGCGGCGACGCTGAGAGCAGTGAGAGCAGTGCGAGCAGTGAGAGCGCGAGAGGTACCCCCGGTGCAGACTGCGGAAGTACCGAGAACCTCATGAGAGCTTACCGCGAGGTGGGAGTGGCGTCGGTGGAGCGCGGGCAGACAGACGGCCAACGCGGTCACGCTGAGAGCGGCGAGAGCGAGCGATGGCCATGAGAGACACGGCGAGGCGGGGGGGAGGGAGGGGGAGGAGAGGGAGGCACGGGAGGAGGAGCGCGATGGAAGGGGCGAGGAGGACGAGTGCTTGGGAGGCATTGCCGGCCAACCCTAATCGGACTGACGGAAGGGGCGGAGGGGCAGAGGGGTGACGGGGGAAAGAAGGGAAGGGGCGACGGTGCAGAGGGGCGAACCCTAACCGATCGGACCAGCACGCTCGCTGCTGCAGGGTCGCTTGCGTAACATTCTGCGGTGACTGGACCAAATTTCCTGACGATGGATTGCCTTTGTCTGGGTTCTGTCGTCTGAATGTCGTCGTGCGACGCAATGAGAGACGTTCTCGCAGCAGCAGGAAGGAGACGAACCGTGCTCAAGGAAACGATGAAGCGCGATATCTGTATCCTGGAGCTAACTACGATAGGTACAGAACCTTGGGAATCTCTGAAGCCAAGCTTAGCAATTTTAGCATTTGGACCATCGAGCAGGGAGGCGTGAAGTTAACTATCTCGACAGTGTACTACGAAAAAGGCGAAGTGTGAGTCTGTCCTGAGGGCGCGGTGCACGTAGATCACTTGGCGTTTGTTTGGCGATCCTAGAGAATGGCTACCTGGTAATTAAAGTGAAACACGTTCGACCAAGGTTATGTGTATACAAAACATGAATCAGATTGGCACGTTCCGACCACGGAAATCGACCAACGTAACACTTGTGATCGACAACCCATGATCGAATGCGAGAAGCCATGTACCAGTCTGGAGCTGGAGATTGATGCCCGAAATTTGCGAAAGTGGTTTGCGAATTTGCGTGTGGCTCAATTCCTCAGCCCAAACATCGCCAGATGAATTTCGCGTTCGCGCGCCAAAACATTGTAGCATCGCTGGTGGGTCGGTTTTGTCAGCGTGAATCGATCTGGCGACGCGCGCACATGTGCTTCTCTGCGATGTTACAATATGGTGGGGGTTTCTGCAAACCTCGAATCGAAACAAATATCTGCGCATCGTAGTCAACCTAACATCCGAACCTGCCTTACGTAAATGACCTGAACATTGACCCAGCCTCCGAGTCCGAGAGAAAGAAACAAGACACGACGCAATCGTCTTAGGGTTGCGGAGCTTATTTTATATAGGTATATTAATTCTGTTTAGATTTACACGCACCCGCGGCCAAAATTGCGAGGCGTGGCCTTCAAACTCATGGGTGTAGATGAGGGTGATGTCAAACATATTTGTGTGTGATGTTGTAGACCATATAGGGTTGTGCCTTAGAGAGTACAGCCCCCTAAGTTATAATGCCTTGTACTCTAACATTCTAGTCATTCTTTCAGTGTGTTATGGTATCATGAGTAGGTTAGGTCCCCTTCGCCCACCAGCGCTTCCGCCGTAGGTCCTAGCCGTCTCGCCTACCCCGCCCCCTAGTGGCCCCGCGGCCCCGTCTCCTAGCGGCCCCGCGGCCCCGTCACCTAGCGGCCCTGCAGCCCCGTCCCCTAGCGGCCCCTCGGCCCCGTCGACCAGCAGCCCCGCGGCCCCGTCCCCTAGCGGCACCGCGGCCCCGTCCCCTAGCGGCCCCTTGGCCCCGTCGACCCACGGCCCCGCGGCCCCGTCCCCGTAGCCGACCCCGTCCCACCGCCGGCCCGTTCCCCTAGCCGGTCCCGTCCTGCAGCCGGCCCCTGTCCCGTCGCCGGCCCCGTCCCAAAGCCGACCCAGTCGTGTAGCTGATAACACCGAGCCGAACCCGCCAGCTAGCTGGCCCCGTCACCTAGCCGACCCCGTCGCCGCGTCGGCCCCGTCGCCCAGCCGGCCTCGCCTTCCAGCCAACCCGCGCTGACCCCGCACCGCACTGCACCGCCCTGCACTGTACTGCATCGCATTGCACCGCACTGTACCGCACTCTACCGCAATGCACTGTACTGCCCCGCCCTTCTGCCGCTGCACGGACCCTGATGGCAGACTCGGTGCTGCGCTTCGACGCGGAGGGCCAGCCGGCCGAGTTCGACACGTGGCTCAAACACCTCCGCCGTCACCTCACTGGTCAGCGGCAGGATGGCCATTCCTTGGCCGTCCACCTCGACGGTACGCTCCCCTGCCCTGACCCCCCTGCTGCCCTGCCCGCTGACCCCTCGTCTGCTGACCGTGAGTCCGCTGCTGCTGCCGCCCTTGCCCGCTCAGTCTGGCTGTCACGTGACGCAGTTGAAAAGGTCACGATCAGTCATGCCCTCCCCCTGTCTGAGCGCCCACTATTTCGGTCAGTCAGGACTGCGCAGGAGTTCCTCGAGGCTGTTGTCGCGCGCTACTCCACCCCACCTGCTGCCTCAGTCGGTCGTCTGATCCTGCACATGCTCTTTCCCAATCTCGCATCTTTCCCCACGGTCGCTGACCTGGGCGCCCACCTGCGCACGTTAGACACAACCTGGCGCGCTGCTTGCACTGAGTCCCAGCTTCGTCTCTTTCAGCCCCCCATCTGCTTTACCCTCTACCTGCTTGCCACACGCCTTCCTGACCGCCTTGCTACCGCCCGCGATCACTTCCTTATTCTCCACCCCGCTGACCTCACCCTCACTAACTTTGTCGACACCCTGTCTGTCATAAAGACCCGCCAGCGCTCTATCGCCCAGTCTAGCGGTACTCTGCCGGTCACTATCTTTCAGGGTTGTGCCCCCGCTCAGTGTACATTCTCTGCCGGTTCTATTGCTATCGCTGAGACAGCGCCTGCTGTGGCGACACGTCGCCACGCAATTCCGTCCAGGGAAGGGTCGCCGCCCCAAGGATGGGCGCGGCGGCGGTAGTGGAGGAGGGGGTGGAGGAGGTGGTGGAGCCAGGCCGCCCACTGGTAGTACGGACGAGGGGACTAGGGCTGGTGCCTCCGAGCAGCAGGACCAGCAGCAGCAGCCGTAGCAGCAGCCGCAGCAGCAGCAGTAGCAGCGGCGGGCTGGTGGTCTCCTGCCCCGGTGACCTGGCGCTGGTGGTGGCGGTGGACGTGGTGGTCGTGCGCGCAGTGTGCCGTCGGGTGGTAGTTCGGGTGACGAGCGCTATCAGTACCTGCTCCAGACCGGTTCTCGCCGTGGCTCCTTGTGCGGTAAGATACCGGTCACACCCCCGCCCGCTGTTTTCGTCGCCTGGACGACCTGTGTTGTCTTCGCTTCGGCCGGTCGCCCGACCTCCCCGACTGGCATAGCTTGTTTCGCTGTAGTGTTTAGATTTTTGATATGGACATGGATGAGATTAGCTCTGCTTTGTATGTGCTGTATGTCGATGACTCTAGTGTGATTGGTTCCTACTACCCCTTGTTGCCTAGTATAGGTGTGCCTAGTTCGGCCTCCCCTGCTGCGTCAGGCGTATGACCCCCCGCCTTGTTTAGTCTTGGCTCCTCCCTCGCCATTCCGACCCCGGCCGCAACTGTTGTGCTCTCCTTTACCCTGGACTCTGACGCTTACGGATGTTTCTTTCGCGACTCCACTACGCTGACGCCGCTTGCCGCTCCCGCCGCAGTTTCCCTTGCCGACCCCTCCTCAGGTCCGGTAGTCGCCCGTAGCTCCACCACCCTTCCCTGTCTGGCGGTTCCTTCAGGCTCTCTTACAGGCCTGCACATCCCCTCGTTCTCTAGGAACCTAGTTGGTGTCGGCTGCCTCAAGGATCTTGGCGTCAACACTACGTTTCCGAGTCACAAGCGGTAGGCTGTCTGTACCGAGGCCGCCACTGGTTGTCCCCTCACCACGTTCCCCCGGGACCCGGTGTCTGGCCTGTTCACACTGGACACCCCCCGGTTGGGACATCTCCCCAGGAGGCTGCGTCTACCCAGGTTGCTGCGGCCTGCTCATGTCGGTCACTTACTCACCCGACACTTCTGTGGCACCACCGTCTAGGTCAACCCTGTGCTCCCGCGTCTGCGTCACATGTCACAGCACGGTCTTGTCCTAGGTCTCCCAAAGTCGTTCCCTGAGTTGCCCTCCTCCCAAGCGCCACCTTGCTCGCCTTGCATCGAGGGCCGGCTCCGCCGTGCCCCTCACTCCTCCTCCTTCCCCCCCACCACCGCACCGCTACAGACCCTGCACATGGACGTCTCGGGCCCCGCCCCCGTCCATGGGTCGCGTCAAGAGCGCTACTTCCGCTACACGCGCTACACCACGTTTTTTCCCTTGGAGCGGAAGGCGGACGTGCCTGACGCTCTTATCCCGTAGCTGGTCTCTGCGCGTGTGCTCCGCCATCTCTCTGTCTTGCGTCTTCACTCCGACCGTGGTGGCGAGTTTGCCTCCGGCGTCCTTGGTTGTTTCTGTCATGCGGAGGGCATCACCAAGATGTTCACCCTGCCGGACTCCGCGCAGCAGAATGGGGTCGTTAAGCGACGTATTGGTTTGGTCATGGAGGTGGCTCGTACCTCCATGATCCATGCCGGTGCACCCCATTTTCTATGGCCGTTCGCCGTTCGCTACGCCGCTCACCAGCTTAACCTCTGGCCGCACCCCCAGCAGCCGCAAGTTTCGCCGACCCTTCTTTGGACCGGGTCCCCTGGTGACTCGTCTGCGTTCCACGTTTGGGGCTTCCTTGCTCACGTTCGTGCCTCTGGCACGGACAAGCTTACTGTCCGCACCGTCCCCTGTGTCTTCCTCGGTTTCCCCCTCGACTCGTCTGTCTGGCACTTCTACCACCCGCCATCTCACCGTTTCTTTCACTCTCGCGACGTCACCTCTGACGAGTTCGTCTTCTTCTACCACCGCTTTCCCCATCGTGGTCCCCCAGTTACTACCCTACAGTTCCTGGTTCCCCCTCCCCCGGTCGCCCCTACTTCTCTCCCTCCCCGCCCAACCCCGTCTGGTGTGTCTCACGTCACCCCCCTCCCGTCGGTTGTCTCGATCGAGGAGTCTGCCTACTCTAGTGGCCTTGCGGTGCACTCGTCGCTGCTCGCCCCTCCCCTAGTGTCTCCTCCACCATCGTCGCAGCAGCCGTCGTCGCAGCCGCCGCCGCCGCAGCCGTCGTCGCAGCCGCCGCCGCCGCAGCCGTCTTCGCAGCCGCAGCAGCAGAAGTTCGTCGACCCTGGGGGTGTTGGTGTTGAGGAGGGTGCTCGTCCTGGGGTTCCTGTCGTGGCTTGTCCCGGCAGGCCTGGGGGTGTTACTGGTGCTGGAGAGGTTCCTGGTTCTGGGGGTGCTGGAATGGAGTGCTTCGGAGTTGGCCATGGAGTAGCTGGCGGTCCCGGTGTTGCCGTCGTGCCGCCGCAGCAGCAGTCGCCGCCGGTATCAGCCCTTCGCCTGCTTGGCCTTCCGTCCCCTGACCGCGCACCTGTGCCTCCTCTACCGTCTGCTCCCCTTCCTATCTGCGGCCCCGTGTTCCCTCCTCCGGACTCGTCTCTGGCTCGTCTTCCTCCGCGTTCTCCTCCTGTGTCTCCTCCTCTGTCTCCTGACCCGACACCTCCGTTTCACGTCTGGTCCCGCTGTCCCCCTCGTGCTCGTCCTGTCTCTCCTATTCCGCACTCTCAC